CCTTGAGCGTCGAATTTTCTTTCTATAAGTCTACGAGGGTAGCTGCAATTAAAAAGGCCTTTGAAACATGTACTGTCCTTCAAGAAATCAGTAATCCCCACTCTCACCTTCTCGTGACTTTTTGCTGCACCGCTTCAGCTCATTTAATTTTCATTTGCATTAGACATCGGTATTTCTTCATTAGAGGTGCGCATTTCATTATTCTTGACATCTAAGCGACTTCTTTAGAAAGTCAACCCCGATGATACATGAATCGGTTATATCAGCCGCATAGCTTATGTGCTCATATGCATAGAATGCAAACTTGATATGAACCATCATTTTCCCATGCACTGGCACTTTCTCTCGCTTCACAGTTTGTAGATTAAAAGATGGAGCCGGATACAGAAGGTGCCGTTCGAACGCCGAGCTGTATTAGCTCGCAGCATAGGCACGTTCGCTCCGATGTCTATTAAGAATGGCTAGAAGAAAACAGTCGATTTCTCCTTCTACGCACAGTCCTCCAGCTTCGCGTGATTAGAAGATATTGTAAGAACGCAGTTTCTCTGCTGCTCTTTTGACATATTATTCGTCTTCTGAATTAGAGGCTCTGTTTTCGTAGAAGTCCTTATCTGTTAAAGTTCCAATATTTTATCTTTCTTTCCTCCTTACTCCATTTCTGAATTCCATTCCATCGTTTCCACTCTTTTTTTCACTTCCGCCCTCGTTTTCAGCATTGGGTCTTCTGCGGTAACTGTTCTTAAAAGACGAGCGTCCTTCTGCTGGGCTTTTGGGTAGCCTGCATTTTCATGGCATAGAACAGTATTTTTCATATCCTTGCTATTCGAAGTACTTGCTGTATTTCAGGATCCTTGCTAACATCCATAAAATGCTGGAGACGCAATGTGTCTTGAATTTCACTGCCGAAATCCTGAAATATTAAGAGGTGTTAACTATTTTATATCAGTTAACCATTCTTGAAGGGTTTCTCCTGCTTTCTGCTTTTGAGTCTTAAAGCTGCAGTCAGGTGTAATCATTGAGAAATGTTTCTCCAAATTACAGTTCTAGAGCATAAAGGCGTTAGCATTCGAACGATTTTGAGCAATAAGCGTCTACATGATATCTGCTTCACCTCCTTGTAAATTAGGTCGCCAGATTTAACGTTTTAGTGAGAAGATCCCACTTGTTTGCTTCGAAAATAATTTGAAATGGTGTTTTGTACACCGTCTATGATGACTTCCCGTCAAATGGCGAGAGCTAATTGTGGAATGCGATAACTGAACCGGAATGTTATTCAAAGCAGGATAAGCTGGCACGTTTGTTTTTGGATGCAACCCGGTTCTAAGATTTTTTTTTTTTTTTTTTTTTTTTTGTTTAGTCTTAAAAACCTCTTTTTTCAGTCTGTCGTTTACAGCAGAGATTTCTTCTGTGACGCTCGCGATTTATTGATTTATAGTCTTTATTCCTCCTAATTTTTGCTCTGTAGAAGGTACTTTCTCGTTCATGGCACTGAAGACTTTCCTTTCGAATACGGCAACACTCCCTTGTATTTCTTTTGCTTCCTTCCTCATTTTAGCGGCATTTGCTTCAATGAAGTTTTCATTTATGCGGGATAACACATGAGAGCAAGTCACCCGGGCGGCTTATATAGACTGATCGGATGTTGTCCGGATCCCGCAACTATCTAGAGCAGTATTCTTAGGTACCCGAGGGCTGCATCGACAGTTTGTTCAATTTAAATTCTACGCAGTCATTGACATTAGTACAACACAATGCATTAATTACAATAACAACAAATTAAACACATAATACAAGTTATATGAAATAGCTGAACAAAGCACGATGCAAAAAACATTTTTCAATGCCAGTCACACATTATATTATATTGCTCCTTTTTGGACGCGAAGCGTGCTACTTACAGTTTGCAGTACGACTTACTCATTACAGTCAGTACTGCTGTCATTACCTTGTCATCCATACTGCAGTGCTACAGTCATTGTGCGCAGTAGTACTATATTCAGTTTAAAGAATGGAAAGACAAGTTGCAGCAACTTCAAGATCTTAAGGATCTCAGCAATGATAAAATTTTCAGGTGGCTAGAAACAACATCTAACCACATTCCAGACTAATCAAAGCTGTCCGTAAGGTCTTTCTAGTACTGAAATTTCCTTCCACGCTTAGACTGTAAGGTGATTCTCTATTGGTTAGCAGCTCACCCTCGAAAATGGAATTTTTTTGTGGCAAACAGGACTTCAGAAATCTTAGACGTTATTCCCTAGCAACAGTGGAGCCATAGTTCGTCGAAACAGATCCCTGCTGACTTTTCCTTCCAGATAGATCAATCCTCAACTGCTGCTGAACTTATTCCTTTGGGGCCATGGACCATCATTCTTCGTTAAACAGGTCAAGGTGTCCTTTACAATGTTCTATCAGTAATAAGAACAGCAGTGATGCAACTGTCTTAGCTGAACAAAGGGCAAAATCAATTTTTGGTTCAACAGCTTATTTGACTAATGGCACTCTGAATAATTTACACTCTTAGACAAAAAAAAAAAAAAAAAAAAAAAAAAAAAAACGACGCACCGAAAGATATAAAGCAAATTCGATACAAATTGATATGCATTCAGGTTTCGACGGAAGATGCAAAATTTTACATTTTGGCTGCCAATGAATGAACGGTTTTCGCTACAACGCATCTGATCTGCGTAATTGGCAGGATATTTAAGAGGAGAAATTATGATTCCAGGTCATAAATTCTTCACGAAATTCATTTCGTGTACTCTGGTAGACAGTAACTATGCCTCGCATACAGGTGCGCGAATGATATGCGCAGATCGTTCGCTGAAATTTCAGAATTTGAGAAGTCGTGTATCGGCGAATAGCTCCACATCTGAGCAGGAGCGATGCCACTATTAGACGATGTTGGCAGGAATGGGTGAACCATGGCCGCACACAGCGTCAAGAAGGAAGCGGTAGGCCTAGAGAAACGACAGAACGGGAAGACCGAGCACTCGTCAGAGCGGCACTCACAGCCCCAGATGCATCATTATCATCGATTGTACGTGCAACTAGTGCTTCAGTGACCGGAAGGACCATTAGTAGACGGCTCACTGAAAGGGGGCTGAAGTCACCACTGACCTCTTACAGCACAACGGTACGTCGACGAAGTTCTAAGGCCCGTTGTGTTGCCCTTCATGTCACGCCAACCTGGGCTTACATTTCAGCAAGATAATGCCCGCCTCCACACTGCACATGTTTCTACTGCTTGCCGAACATTATCTTGGCTAGCAAGGTCGGCTGATCTCTTCCCTATTTAGCACGTTTGGAGCATTATTGGCAGGGCCTTCCCACCAGATCGGGATGTGGACGATATAAAGCGCCAGCTGGGACAGAATTTGGCACTATATCCCTTAGGAGGACATCCGCAACCTCTATCAATCGATGTCAAGCCGAATAACTGCTTACATAAGGACTAGAGGTGGACAAATGCGTTACTGACTTTTTCACTTTGTGAAGCTCTATCACTTTAATAAATCATCCAATTTTTCTCAAACTGTAATCATTTGTTTTTCTGTACATGTACATCACCGCTACCGATTTTCGCCCCATTCAGATAATTCCTTCTTGGTGCGTCGTTTTTTTTTTTTTTTTTTTTTTTTTTTTTTTTTTTTTTTTGTTTTTGTTTTTGTTTTTTTGTGTCTAATAGTGTATTTCAAAACTGTTCTTTTTATCTAAAATAGTTAATATAATTTCTTTTTGTTTAAGATTTATTTCTAGGTGCAAAGAATGGGTCTTTGATTCTGAAGGTAATATGTTAAAAATTCTGCAGTAGTTCCCTCATGAAATGCAAGAAACTAGAAGTTGATCATTAAGTGGATCCAGTTTCTGCACTTTCCATAACGATATAAAGTCTCAAAAAAGAAAAACTTTAAATTCTAAAAGCGTTTTAAGCTCCTTTCTTAGATGATGATGGTGTTTTATTAGATGATGATGGGAGATCGTCTGCGAAATTCTGATTTGACATTAAGTCAAAAATCCTATAATTATCCTGAGGGAACGGAGGATTGCCTCATTACTTGTTGAACAATATCATGTAACTTACATGCATGCAGGCCCCAGTTTACTAGCCAATATTCTGAAACAAAATTATTGGATTGTAAATGGTAAGTAACATACCTATAAATGTACTGTTTGTCACAGATATGAATTGTCATCTAATAACCAATTAATAGGAAACTTGCTGAAACAAAGAATAACATTTGAGAGACTTTTTTAACCACAGGTATTGATTATGGTAGTCTTGTAATTTTGAAATGTTACAAAGGTCGTTGCTTTAAAACCACAAGCGATTATATAGCTTTATACTTTGTTTGTACGTCCAGCTAACAAAGCTTAGCATATTGAGGCAGTTAGCTACTTAACTGCAGATTCTTTCAGTGCTGCTCGTAGGCGATTTGTATCAAAGTTTGGTACAGCTAATACTTATTTTCGGATAATGGCACGAAGAATATATTGCTTACTTGGAACACTTATTCTGAAGTAACCTGAAATCAGAACTCTTTGTTTCATAAGAAAATTAAACTAAATGGCAGTGATTAATTTGATGAAATTTTACATGTGATCGAAGACAATTTTCTTGTAGGGCAAGGGTAATTTGATATCCAGTAATATATCTTGACAATAATATTAAAAAAAGCTCTTTTCAGAGTGAAAGAAATGTAGAAAAGGAGGAAGGAATCATTTCTATTTCTTCTTAAATTTATACAAATGAACCTTTTATAAGTAAACTATAAGTAAACTATATATATTTTATAAGAATTGTTCCCAAATGGTTATCCCCCCCCTTTTTTTTTGTATGTTCGTCTTTCAGGAAATTTTAACACGGATTTTATAGTAAAAATTTGAGAAAGATATCTAAAATATTATTGTTAGATCTGTTACTCGACCATTTTGAATATGAAAATACTAACGAATAAGTACGAAAAGCTGCTTTGCGAAAGAAAATTTTAACATGTTCGTACCCACACATCCGAGTGATATATCTAAGCCTATGACAGGCTGTGGCAAAGACCTATTCCTCTGTCCTCTTTTACCATCCATCTCTGAACAATATTTGTCACCTTTTCTTCTCGTACCAGGCTGCAGAAACCTCCGAGTTGGTGGTTTAATGGATGATAACCTGTTAGCCAGTTCTGGTTTATCTTCAAGGACAGCATGAGTCGCCCAGGGATATGTTATACCAACTTGATCAAAGAGATCAGGACAGTGACCTGTATACCTGAAACAAGCAGACAAGAAATAAATTTTATAAAGCTTTCTGTTTTCTAACTAAATCTTATTAATTTTCTACTTGTATATGTGTAATAAAATGCTAGGCTAAATAAATAAGTTTTAATGTTTGGTTCAACTTCAGAGATAGATTTCACAACCCTCCAGTCTCAATGTGAGGAGTAACATTTTTTACTTTCTAAATATTGTCTCCAAATTCGGCCCACGATTTTTACATCTTATCGAATTTCTGTCACAGTATGATGCAGTAAGTTTGTGTGCCTCCAGTTATAAAGCATATTTCTCAAACATTTTGTTGATGGCATCTCAGAGTCACTTTCGCGCTTTAATAATCATCTTGATATATAAAACATCTAAAGAACCTTTTTGCATTCTTGGAATAGCCTCAGTTACTAACTTGAAGAATAGTTTAGAACGTTGGAACTTAGAACTTAGAGAATAGTAACTAAGAGAATAAATTTTTCTTTCTTATCATTCTCCCACATTACGTGACTGTTTGATAACTACAATGATTCGAATAACTTGTTAGTCTGAATAAACTCCGAAAATCGCATACAATGCTGAGACAAAGTTTTCGCTATACTGCATTTCCTCTTTCAAGTAGAACATATGTGCATCCCCTCCTCCTCCAAAAAAAATCTGAAAGCTTTCAGATTTTACAATAAGCCCAAAGGGGCTTTTTTTTAACATTTTCTAGTTACCTTTATTTATGAAATATCATATTCTTCGTACTTAAACCATCCAATTTCAAATCATAATAGTGCTCAGACAGAAGAGGTTATGCAACAACAGGCCAATTCCAAATTCCGAGTATTACACCCTTTATGATTAAGCCAACAGAAGACTGCGAATGGACTGACTACCTAAAAAAACTCTTAACCGTGACTGATGCAAAATTTCTTTGCTGCTTCAACAGCAAATTTATTAAAATTCTTCTAAATGCAGATAAGGATCATAGTAAACTTAACCAACCTGTTCAACGTCCAATAGATTGAATGTCATAATATCGATCCAAAATTTAATTGACCTTTTAAGTTTGTAAAGATTATGTTAATTTTATTAACAGTTAAATTTTAAGTTAAAGTTCCTTTCCTGTCAAATTTTTAACTTCAACTTACTACTTCCGGCTAGAACGTAGTTTTTGGAATTTGTTGAATATTTAATAAGAAGCGGTATTTAAACCACGAAGTTACTTACAGAGACAGAGAGAGAATCAGAGTTTCTGAACTACGCGCGTCTGCCTTTTTGGCCGCTCTCTCTCTCAAAGCTGTTTTTACGCTCGGCCGTACTCAAACCCTTGCTAAGCATCGTAGTAAAATAAGTTAAGGGGCCAACTCTAATTGAACCTTGATAGCTTTGGATATACTTGTTTAGTTAATCTTAGTTTAGTTTAATTCTTAGTCTTTTAAGTTCAAGTCCAAAGTGCGGACTTTATTTGTACACTCCCAGGCGGAGTTTTGTTAAATCTTATCGAAATAATAAAGGGTTAATTACCCTTCTCTCTTGTTGTTTCCTCTCTAGCGATTATTCGCTTATCAGTTCTTAGGTTCCTCACTTCCAACATTAACTTAGAATTCCAACCTTACAAGTTTCTATCAAGAACCCTTCCAATCCGTACTAGTTGTGAAATAATTATGTCACCACTTAAAGGTTTTCTGTGCATAAGGCAATCCAACTCATTCGACGACGGACTCGTGCACCTATGCCATCTTTCATGATTTATATTCTACCCTCGGATAATATGGAACAAATCTACGACCTCAAAAACCTGTTCTTGATTAAAAAAAAAAATAAAACAAAAGATTTGGAAAATCAGGTTCATCAGTGCTACAACGTTTTCTAAAACATGCCACCTAAACCCTAGGTGAATTAAGTGCCGTTTAGGGCACCTCACAAAAGACTGTCTGCAAGCTGGAGAAAACGAAGTATCCACCCGCTGCAACTGCGGACAAAAGCGACATCCTGCGTCTTATTGTGGGTGTCCTAAATTTTCCACAAATAAACCTAGGTAAGAGATATTCAACAAAGCTAGGAGTCAGCTACTCACAGACCTTGGCAGGAAAAACCTCTATCCCCTTCAAACCCCAAACTAGTATAATAATACTCAGGTGAATCCGCTTACTGCTGCTAAAACCAAGCGTAATCTTTCTGACTTTGCTAAAACCTAATGCTGTGAGTGCACCTAATGCAAACTCCGATAATTCTAAAATTATTATTAATGTCTAGTATGAGTGAATTCCAGTCTGTATTTCTAAGGATGAACTTAATATTTTTCTATCCTTTATTACATATCTGACTTTAGTATATAAATGCAATATCAGTTTTGATAAATTTCATGTTTTTTCTTTGCAAATGACTGAGGAATTCAACTATATTTTGTAATACAAATAATGTTTCAGCCTCTTAAAATAATCACTTTTATTAACAATTAGCATGATTAATGCACTTTTATGTAGCTAGTGTGCTGCGACCTAGTGCAAACTTTTGAAACTTCCCATTTTTCTCCCTTTAAAAAGCGTGCATACTCTGGTACCTTACTTCTTCCGCCAACAGCCAATTACTAAGCTCCTGACTTCTTCATGTAACTTGACCACGTCGCTTCACCTTGCTACAATCTAGGGCGACTCGAGAGTAGAACACTCGGGAGTACTCGGATTACTTTCAAAAATGAAAAGTTTTCCTTAACTGTCTGCAAACTGGCTTGGTTCTGGTTTATTTGGCAAAGCACTCAAGGGCTACTTGCCAAAGGGCAGGGCAGCTAGTCCGTTCGTTTGGAAATGAACTACCAGGGGTATTCATTTCGGCATCAGTTGGGGGTTCCCGTAAACTGGAAGCGAGTTTTATGCTTACGATCATTTTTAATGAAATTACGTTAGAGGGAGCCAAGTTTCGGTTCATTATGAAATGTAATGTTAGCGAATATTTGTCCAACTTGTAATAGGACAATGGAAATATTGCATGTATAAAACGATATAATAAATGGAATGATGCTGTCTTTATTAGATATGCCGCCTATTGTTGTCAACAACGGCATCCTTGCTTAGTCGCTTTTTCCCCATGACGTAATGTGAAAATTTCAACTGTCGTCAAAACTTATTCGATGGCAGCTTTATCAAGGAAGTACAGTACTGATTTGGAAATTCATTTGCTTGCAATTTTTTTCGCATTTTCTTTAAAAAAAGAAGAAAGAAAAAAGTCAAGCGAAGTACCTATTTTATCGTTTATCACCGGGTTAGGGACATTTATTTATGGAATACGATAATACAGGAATTAAACTTTCAATAAATAACGAAATCAATATTAGGATGCTTTTGCATAAGGGACATTTCCGTACCTTATGCATACCAGTTTAATTTACCAGTGAGTCCCTCAAAAGTATTCATATTATTTCCTTTTAGGAACGAAGTAATGTAATTTACTTATTTTTAAAATTATTAAAAAATATCTGAACACACAAATAGCAAGCACAGGAAGCTGAAGGTATGAAATTTTTACTCAGCAAATAAGTGTTTAATAAAATAGAGAACATTAGACACCTCTCATTTGCATATTTTTCTTTGCTTATATAATGAAATGCAAAAAAAGGTACACTAAAGGGAAGAATTTTGATAAAAAAATGCAAATACATATAGAAATTTTTGCTTTGTGTATAGGTTTGATTGACATTACACCTATCTATAAATTTCAAATGGAAAAGGAATTATACTCGTTTAGGTATTTTGTTGAATCATTAGTATTACCAACATTATTTTTTTGAATTAATTGGCATACATGCTCTTCACGTTAACATAATATTCTTACAAATTATACCGATTGATCAAACGAAGAAATTTGAGTTTTTGACACCGATTCATCTTTAAGGTAACATGTTAAAAATTAGGAATGAAAGCCAAAACATGTAACGTCTTATATAAAAATGACGATCTACGGTCTATATTCAATTGAACTGAATCTCACTTACCCTGGTATAAAATGTGGCTCCGGTACGGGACGATCGTATGGACCATATTTATCAATTCTGGGCATTTATTTTATGAAGTGATTGAGATTTACCTTTAAACGAATTTTTAGATTAATTTTGATGCAATTTTGCTAAGTACCTTTAAGGTACACATCTGACTTCTGAAATGAATTTTGAATTATTGAAGTTCAAACATAATTCTCGTGGTTATTTCTGTAAAATTATAATGCTTGCAATAGAACGAGCTGAAATTATTGTTCATGAGCTGGTTACTACGCATGGTATTGCCAACAACTTATCGAAATAATGACTATAAAAAAGTACATTTTTATATTTCATTTCTTTTCTTTTTGTGTAGCTTTTAACTCGTAAACAGAATAACCGTACAGTTCAGAATGGAAACCAATCCATGAATGTGCCGCGAGGTGAAAAAACTGAAAACCTACGGAAAGCCAAATTTCCATTTGCCATCCAGAGGGTGTCAGACCAAATTAACTTTCAAAAATCGATTTTTCAATTTTGATTTTAGAAAATAATGCAAACATCTGCGGATACCAGGAATAGATAGCATGTTGATGTTTGTGGTACCAAACGCTAATAAATGAAGGTAAAAGACCGAAATAAGACAGAGGTACTTATGTATTATCTCTTCGATCGTGAAAGTGTCGCCAAACAGCGCGAAACAGGTGTGGATAAGTGGTGTGGTGTATTTAATTATGGCAAAGCACACTAGGGCTATCTGCCTAAGGGGATGGATGCCTTCGTGGAGGTTTTTCTGAGGGAAACTGGCTCGTATACACGTTACACATGGAAAAAAACCACGAAAACACCCATGCAGCCAGCCCGTTCGCTGGAATTGAACCTCGGACCGAACTATAGTGTTCAGCGACTTTACTACATGGCCGCTGGTGGGCTTTAGATATGAATAAGCGTTACGTCACAGCACACAAGGTTTATACGCTTTCGTTACATGCAACCACGATTGATTTTTCATACGTTTTTTTTTTTTTTTTTTTTTTTTTTTTTTTTTTGTTTTTATGAAGAAGGGTATAAATTACTGTTATTGCTGTTTTTTTCCTTGCATTTTGGAAGAAAAGAAAAATGAGTTCAAAGGCTGTACAATCACATTGACTACAGCACCTATGGGATGGGGAATGCAATAATAAATTAGAATAATCACCCGCGGGGAGTGTGCACTCAAAGTATTCTAATTAGAGCTTCCAGTAAAAGCGAAAGCCCTAACAAAATAGTAAAATACCCCAGCGAAAAAGCCAATGCCAATGATTAAAAATTGCGGAGTGCCTATGGTTCAAAACCATGTACATCGTCATCAGAATTACATAAAAACGAGCAGAAATAGGAAAATTGCATAAGTAGTAAACTTGATGCTCAATAGAGGGAGCCACATGGCTCGAGAAAGTTTAGGGATAGCAAGAATTTATAAAACTTAAGAATACATACTTTTTTTTGTAAGTTTTTAGATTTTTAATCATTTTTTAACTGCCTTTTTACGAAGCTCAAAAACAAAGAGAATAGAATATTTCTGCAGCGGTGGCTATTTGGTGGATTGAGCAGACAGATTGACGAATATTTTATTATCAGAGTTGCAAATGCGTAATACTGTGACTCATAATTCCACAGGATTTATTGGTGCAACTTTGGCGGTATCTCCGCCAATTTTCACGATCGACAGAATGATGTATAAGTGTCAAGAAGGACATGTCCCTTTTTAAATAGACAATTTTCAAGAAGTGTGTTTTAGAGACTTAACTGAGACGTATCAGTATTTTTCTAATTATTACGCTGTGCTTATATTGTTACGAATTTTGTATAATGTAACATAAAATGTCTGAAGAAGTGAAGCTTATTCGAACAAAATAAGATTACAGGGGCAAGTTTATTTAACTTTGAAAAAATGGTATTCTCACTGAATAGGCGAGATATCGCCAAGCCGGGGATTGTTTTGGCGACAAATTATTTTTACCAAATTTGACTAGAAATTACCCAAAGTCTCCAAACTTGGCGACCATTTGACGACATTTTGGTCCTGCCCTGTAACTGTAATTGGTATTGTAATTGATCCCTATGGGTAACAGTAATCATATCCGGCCTTTATACGTAAATTTAACCGTATATGTCTTCCTGTAATTTCGAGAAATGGAAGGTACTACAGATTACTCGGCAGCCTGAGGAAAACTATATAAGACCGGAGAGAGCATCAGCTCTAATTTTTTTCGGTTCAGATTTGACTTCGGAGAATTGAGATATCTCCGTATGAGCTATTCTCTTTAGTATTAGGTTACGCAAAGTGCATTAGGACTATTTGCCTAAGAGGTTGGATGACTTCGTGTAAGACTTTCTAAGGGAAACTGTCTCGTTTACACGTTACACATGGGGGGGGGAAACCACAGAGATACCCATGCAGCAAGTCCGTTCACCGGTAGTCCAACTTCCAAACAAACAATCAGTATTCAGCGACTTTTACTTCTCGACCGCTGATAGGCGTTCCTTAGAGGCCCTATCCGTGTGTTTAACACATTCCCGATGTGTTTAACATTCTTAGCAGTATGTAGTGTAACTACTGACTGTACTCTCTGATATCTAGGAGAGTTACACGAGTAATTTTGTGGAAAGTTTGAGAACTGCAAAGTGTTTCTTTGGGTAAAATAAATTTTATCAAGCTATCATCTGTCTTGTGTGCATTCAATCCATTACAAACCCTTGTGAATGACTTACTTGTGAATGACAAGAGCAATGAAGGAGCAAGTAATATAACTTGTTGCAGCCCTTTTCTGCTCTTACTGAAGAGATGAAAGCGGGACAAGTATACGTTAAAGAAAGTTGCAAGCGAGACAAGAGGAGATGAAAGCGGGTCAAGTAAAAATCGAAGCAAGTCAATGAAATGAAAGTCAATGAAATGAAAATCAAGGAAATGAAAAGAGAAATTACTACCATAATAGAAAACACACTCAAAGCTGTGGAAAGCTCAATATAGACACGGTGGAAAATTTGTGTTGGAGAAACTAAAGACAGATTTTCTGCTGTCAAACAACAAAAGTAGGAAGGAGTTTCTGTTGTTAAACTACAAATCGATGACCAAGTTTTTGCTGCTGTCGCTGTTATAATTAAACATTCCCTATAAACGGCATCCTACAATCCAAACAGGTGAACGGAATGCAACGAAATTTTGTATATGCGCTATACACGAGATGCGTTCACGTTCTAAAATGTCCACCAGAGGGCGTCTTTTGGGGATAAACATGAAATTTAACAATACAGAACAAGAATTAGGAGTAATAAAATGCAAAATCGGGAAAAGCTGTCAGTTGTAAGAGAAAATTGTCGAGGTTTGCACGCTTGGAAAGAAGAGGAAGCTTTATGCGAAACAGGTTAGGGTATAAAATATTTGCAGACGTTGCCATGTTTAAGTCGATGTTTTCGGCTGTAATAATGACGATCACTTTAGCTGAACGTGCATTATTGGTGAAGCTATTTTACGAAAACAAGATGAATGCTTCTGCTGAAGCTCGTGAATTTCGTCGTAGAAGGAACCTACTGCGTGGACCAATGTCTACTAAAGGTATCCGGGCCATGATTAAGAGATTTGAAGAGACGGGGAAATTAGGAGTTCAACCTGGAAGAGGCAGTAAACGTGTTACATCGGTACTTGTTGATGCCGTAAAGACGGCTGTTGACGCATAATCCCAGACTTCAGAGTTTGGTGACAATAGCGCGCGTGCAGTTTCTCGACAGAAAGGCTATTCTTACAGCACCGTCCGAAAAGTATTCAGAAACATAATGCACTACTTCTCATATAAGATCCGTCATACCCAGGAGCTGCTTGATAGGGAAAAGTAACAACGTCTCTCATTCGCAGTCAGTTTCCTCAACAGAATGACTGTTGATCTGTCAGAACCTTGGAATATTCGATGGAGTGACGAGGATCATTTCTACCTCAATGGGACAGTCAACACACAGAATTACCGCATTTGAGCTAAGGAAAATCCGCGGATCCACGCTGAATTTCCGCTACAGTCTCCAAAGGTCACTGTCTGGTGTAGATTCCCGGCGATATTCATCCTTGGGCCATTCCTCTTTGAGGAGATTGGTGAACGTGGGCCTGTCACATGTTTCGTTACGGGCCGTCGGTACCATGACATGCTGCAGACGTTTGTTGTGCCGCCTCTACAGTAAAGGCGGGTCTTTACATCGACCATTGACATGCAGGATGGTGCACCCCCACATATCCATTGATCCGTAAAGGCGCTATTGCCCCAAAACCACACAGAGGAAACTGTTATTAGTCGCTGCTTTCCTACGTAATAACTTACTCAATATTCCATAGCGGCATCGGTGGATCTTGATATATTATGGTATCAAATAAAGACACTTTCCTTTAACTAAAGCTATTTAGGAATCAAAGACTATGTACAAGTATTATATACAGATTACAGGATATCTAGTTTATACCTCTCTCAACTACTCTCACCAATCTCTCAACTCTCTCTGGTAAAAACTCTTAATTAGCTAAACATACGGGCGGCGCAGCGCCCTCTATCTCTTTTTCTACATCACTCCCCACCTGTACTCTTTAATAAGAGTACACAAACTTACGTACATAACAATATTAGCATTAATTAATAATAGATTAATACTAAATAGTACGACATATAGATATGAATAATATAAAAGAATAATCTATACTAGTATATATCAAAGCCATAAATGAACATAATAATTAATAAAAAAACTCAAATAATATCAAAAGTTCTAAATTAAATTTCGAAAGGATATAACATCTGGATCAATCTTCTGAATTGTCCTTTGAGCGTGCGAACGAGGCACGCTCGAACATAATCACGTTTTTTCAATTACACCCATGTCCCAAAGTAGTTTGGATTGTTTTGGTTCTTCTACCATCACAACGTCTTTAGTCTTAAGGTTCCGCTCAGTTTTAGGATTAGCAAAGTTATGCGTATTTCTAAGACGGAGTAAATATTGCTCTTTTCACTTTATCCATGTTAATTTTAAGAGCCTAGATTGGTAAAGCTTCCTCCTAATTAAAGTCTTTTTGTCTGACACCTTGTTAAAAATTTCGAAAAAATGCTCGGGAAAGATAAATATATCACGTCCTGGCAGTAAAAACTGTGAAGGTGTGAGCGCGGGAGGTTCACCCAGCTCGTTGCT